TGCAGCAATGTATAGAGACATGTTTGATCAAAAACCTGCTCCAGAGCTCTCTGGACCTTGGAGTGGGGAAAAGCTTTATCTTCAAAACAGGACAAAGGCCCAAAGCAGTCAATATAACAAAGGAGTGCTATGAGATCACTCTGTGAACATCCTTGAGTACACAGCCAGAGGAGCAAAAGCTCTGAATACTTTATGTAGAAGTTTGATTTTTGTTTTTTTATTTAATTGATTTTTTTTTTAATTAATTTGTAGAATTTCATTATTGAAATACCATTAACATGCCTGGACAACAAAATGTACCTTCAAAATGAAAATAGCAGCAGATAATTTATTAGTAACATCCGTACATCTGCTTTCACAGGTAGGTAAACTGATTTTTGTGGCCTAAATGTGTTGAGTTCCCAGTTTACTAAACATTTTTAAGGCGTGTGTGGCTTTGCGTCTAATTTATCGATCATCGCTGCTGGTTCTCATCTTCCAATTAGAAAAGGACAGTAACAAATTTGATCTGATTTCATGTGACTATGTGGCATATATATATATATATATATATATATATATATATATATATATATATATATATATATATGTACACACATACATACACACGCAAGGTGAGTGAGAATGAGAGCAAAAGTGATTTACAGAGTAAAAACTGAAATCAGAATGAAAAAGAAAGTGGACAAATGAGTCAAATAAAGGAAAGTTATTCATTCAATAACACCACATTTAGCAGTGGACAATCTGGCCAAAAGATTATATTAAAATCTTTTGCGGTACAATTGCAGCTGACAGATTTAGCCCACTACATGATTAAGTCGTGCAAAAAGCTGTATGTGTGTGAAGCCTAACATGTCATCTTAAAGCTAAATGTCAAATTAGTACATTTCTGCATTGTGTTGTGATTTTATCTGAACAAATTCCGCCCAGAAGTGATCATTCGTATCTTCACCACATTTACAGCAGCAAAGTCACTTTATCAAACTGCTGGTTTAAAATCGACCCCCCCCACACACACACACACACAAACAAACAAAAAAACCCAAACCAAAACATTCATGACATATCACTCAGCTATGTCAAAAAAGGATCATGGTTACACATCGTCATCATTTTTTCCTATCCTCCCTGCCTGTGGCTAATGTGGGTAACACTATTAGCAAGGGTGGGCTGGATCTATTTCAGTCTCTCACTAGTTTACAAGAATATGGCAAATTTTTATAAATACAGATGCGATACAGAGAGCTTTCATTTTTGCTTTTTCACGACAACATTTATCTGACAAGTGTGCTCTGTTTGTGTAGAACGTGATAAGATCACGTTTCCACATGCTGAAATCTGCTGACAGGGGGTTTGATAAAAAGCTATAACTTTTTCCTTCCAAAGATACGCCTGACTCTTCACCCGTGTTCACTCATTTAGTTTCAGATCACCCACTTATATACCTATATGCTGTTTTAAGTGCATGTGTTCCCACTGAAAAGCATTGGTATATACAATATTGTCCAAAAAGTCTTGATCCAACATCACTTCTTTACATTTTCTTAGGAAAATTGAAAATATGCCCCATTTTATATTGAAATATGTGCAGACAAATGGAAATAGAGTACACAAGGCAAAAACAGAATTTGTATAGTTTCTAATGAGATTCAAAGTCAACACTCGGTATGACCAAGTACACAGCAAAGCCTGAAGCAAACGCCCCATTAGACAAGAAAAAGACTACTTAAAGACTGTTTTTAAGTAGAAGTACTGTTTTACCTCTCTTCTGACCACCTCCAAATTGAATTAAAAAAAAAAAAAAAAAAAAGTCATTACAGTAATGTACTGGACGTGTAGTTTGCCCCCCTCCCCACCTCATAAGAATGACTTCCTGACAGCCACCCTTCCACTGAGACCATTTCTAATGTGGTTTCACTAGATGAATCAAGTTTCTTGACGTTTACATCCTGTTCATCTACTTTATATAGGTTTTTAGGCCTGTCGCTCCCCCCCCCTCCACTTGTCCAGTTTCCTTAGTTTTATTTTAAGAACACACTGCATACCATGCTGAGATATACCAAGCTAATAGGTCTTCAGAAATTCAAGGAAAAAAAACAAAAACAAAGAGTTTAGATCACTTTAAAAACATTACAAGAAAGCCTAGTACTGTATAGCGCATGACAAGTACCCGGATTTTGTACTTGTAACAGCCAATAAAGATAAACAGGCTGTTCACTGACCTTGAATGATCACCACTGTGTGTACATAGCAGTAAGACCATGAAAATATTTAAAGTAGGAGTGGAAGTCATTGTCAGTACTAACAGAGTCAGTGGATGACTCTTTTGTAGACCGATCTGGAAGTTTGTATCAGTATGATTACCTTGACAAAAAGCCAAAGGGGGGTTTCCATAAGTCGTTGGAATGGAACACAAATTAAGCTTAACAGAAAATTAAAATGGCATTGTACTGACACATTCTGTTCAGCAACAGTATTTTCACTGACACCACTTTTATGATATTTAAACAGTAAATGCAAATTGCCAAAAAAGTAAAAGCCTAGCATTAGGAGCTGAGAATCAAATATAAACTTAATAATAAACATTAACATTCCACTAAGTGTCTTCAACTCAGATGGCTGATCATTCTATTTTGAATGATCAGTGGAAAATTCATATAAATAAGTTTGCTACATGGAGGGAAGATTTAGAATTGGTAAGATTGGAAAATAGCTTGCGTTAAAAAAAAAAAAAAAAAAATAGTGCTGTCAGTGTTAATCTCGTTAAAATTACGTTAATGCCATAACCGCACTAAAGCGGGAAATCTCCGTTAGCGAGTTATCGCGGATTGCTCCGTGTGTGGGGCTGCACGGCGTCGACACGTTAGCGTGGTTAGCTCGTTAACGCGTTGGCGCCGTCGAGCCCCGCACATGCAGCGATCCGCAATAACTCGCTAACGGTAAATGTAATTGTGTCCAGGTGCACAAAATCTGCACATCCTCCCAAAAATGTTGGGAAGATGTGCAGGTTGTAATGAGGAAGAAACATTTCTAAACGTCTGCTTGATCTAAAATCTTAGCTGTTTGGTTTATACTCAGAAAAAAAAATATATATAGTAAGAGTGAAAAGTTACTGGTGGCCTGCTAAATGCAAAAAGAATTACAGCAATGCTACAAAAGAAAACAAATAGACCAAGAAGTATTCAAAGGGCAAAACAAAATACAATCAAACCTGCCACGAGAAAAAAATGTATGTATGTTCTTAAGGTAAGCTAGAAATCTCTGGGCATGTATCGGTGACATTTATGGATTTTAGCAAAAATACCGACTTATCTGAAGAGGATACTGAAAACTGTCTGTGAACGCAAGACTGATGTATGAGTAAGGGCAGAAGAGGGAAGAGTTTGTTTTTTTAATCGGTTGTTTATGCAAGTCTTGTTCTTCTGTTTGTGGTTGTAGAAAATGAACATTCGATAAAGACATCCATCCATCTGCTTCTGCTTATCCTTTTCAGGGTCGCGGGGGGCGCTGGAGCCTATCCCAGCTGTCATAGGGCGAGAGGCGGGGTACACCCTGGACAGGTCGCCTGTCTGTCGCAGGGCTAACACACAGACCGACAACCAGTCGCACTCACGTTCACTCCCGCATTCACACCTATGCACAATTTAGATTCATCAATTAACCTATCCCCACTAGCTGCATGTCTTTGGACTGTGGGAGGAAGATGGAGTACCCAGGGAGAACCCACGCAAACACGGGGAGAACATGTAAAAACTCCACACAGAAAGACCCCAGCCTGATGATGGAATGATGGGCGGCAACAGTGCTGCCCTCAAAGTCATTGTTAGGAAAAAAGACGAACATCAGGCTAAATACATTCTACGAAAGTCAACATTCATGAGTGGGGTATTTATTTACTGCATTTTATGAATAGAGTGAAATCAGAGCCGTCCATATTATTATTACTGTGCTGCTGGAGCCTTCTGTAACATTTTTAATGCAGTAATTTGAGATAAAAATAAATAAAATCCTTTGTATATTGTGCCAAATTAGAACACTTCACGCTAGTTTATATTGTAAGACCTTGAAATAAAACAGAGAAAACCCCAACATTCAGATGACCCTCTTTAAGCAAGCACTGGGTGACAGTGGGAAAGAATTCCCTTTTAACAGGAAGAAACCTCCAGCAGAACCAGGCTCATGGTTAGTAATAACTAATAATTAAATGCAAAAAAGGTGCATAAACACATAGAGTTAAAAGAGGTTGAGTGAAGAAGAAATACTCAGTGCATCATGGGAAGCCCCCCTGCAGCCAAGCCTATTGCAGTGTAACTAGGAGAGTATTCAGGGTCACCTGATCCAGCCCTAACTCTATGCTTTAGCAAAAGGAAAAGTCTTAAGATAAGATTAATCTTACGCAGAGAGGATGTCTCGTTTCCCAAATCTAAAATGGGACCTGCTTCTACAGAAGAATAGCCCAAAAACTCAAGGCTCTGCCTCCCATTCTAGTTTTAAATACCCTAGGAACGACATGTAAACCAGCAGCCAGAGAGTGAAGTGTTCTATTGGCGTGGGGCGGTCTTTACTTTAAGATGGGGCCTGATCATCTCCGTTTACATCAAGACCTTATATGTCCAATGTGTCACTTCTTGTACACTGTATACGTGTCAAACGGAGAGGAGGTGGCAGCTTGATGACATCAAAACACAATGGAGAAATAGAGCAAACAGTGTTCCAGTTTTTCTGGTTCTGGTCTTGTTTAAAGAAGATGAAGACACACACACACACACGCACGCACGCACGCACACACATGTTACAGGTTTTATTGGTAGGGAAAATTCCGAAGTAGAAAAGTTAGTGCACCACTCTTTATTTAATGTCACTGCTTTTATAATTTATCAGAAAAGTAGACCATCTGTGATATGAAACTTTCAGCTGTCCACCCTTCAACCACATTTCCTGTCTGCTATGTCAATGATTCGGTTTTCTGAAAGAAGACACAGTAGGTCACAGATACTCACCCTGCATGAGAAAAGTGCTGAGAAGTTGGTCTGTGGCCACAGGTTTGATCTCAGTTCGCAGATTGACGTATCGGCCAACCACCAAAGGTGCTCTCCTGAAACCAAGGATCCTGCATAGAGGACGAAGATTACAAAACAGGACTGAAGATTATGACACTCTCGACAGACCACAGAATGTTTAAAAAAAAAAAATGACAAAGAACTCAAATAACCATGATTACAAACCTGTCCAGGTGAAAAGCAGCTACCTCCGCATTGTGTCTGTCATAGCCTGCGTATGGCTCTCCTTCGACCACATAGTCTCTGTTGTACCTGAGCGAGGGTGGAAATAAAAATAAAATAAATAATAAAACAAAAGTAAGAAGAATAAATCAATCTGTGACAGAATTTTTTTTTAATTAAGCCTGACCTCTTGGGTTTGAAGACCACTTTTTGTCCTCCGTCTAGCACCAGCAAGGCTTTGAGCTGTGTGCCCTTATAGCCCACATCTGCCCGCTCTATCCTGGCAGAGCTCAGGGAAGTAAGCACAGCAGCCAGCTCTGGAGTCTCTTCGGGGTACACCTCTCTGGGGCCCACCCATTGGCTTGCTATCTCCCATGAAGACTGGAGGGTGTTGGTAAGGCGAGCGCCCCGAGACAGTGAAAGACCAGCTTCCATCTTTGAGGGATGAGTAATAATAACACATTGCATGAGATAACATAAGATAAGATTTTAAATAATGAAACTTAGTTTATTAATACTTAAACAAGACCAGCATATTTTAAATGCTTTATAACACTGTTGGCTATGACTGTGCATCCAGTTAGTGATCCCAATGAAAGCACATTTTTTAATGTAAAAGTCAAAAGTTCCCATCCACTCATCATGGGCATGAGTGACACAATTATTTAAGTCTTTTAATGATTTCTTTGAGTTGTTCTTTTTCCAGAATTGTTTATTTCGGAATTTCTCTAATCCAAATAGGATTAAAAGTATACAGACAGACATATATATACTCAAATATATACATACACCTTGGCTAATATTTCGTTAAATGTCCCTTAGAAACTTGCACGTCAACCAGAGGCTTTTAGTAACCATCAAAAAGTTTTAAGCTAACTCTTCTTGGTAGAGTTTTCATTTTATCAGGTTGGACCCGTCCACAAATTTTCAACAGGGATGAGGTAGGGATTTTGTGAAGGCCATTCCAGAAGTGTGTTCCGGAAGTTTCCAGTTCATGGCAGGCTTCCTGGGTTGTTGTTGAACATCCTCACCGATTTCCTTTCGTGCGAAGGTGACAGTTCGGGTCTTCTTTCAGATGATGGCAAAGTGGTAATACACCTGAATAACCTCTAGTTGCACATCCACCTGCAGTTGATGATCATGGAATCTCCAGAAGACCTTCCCAACTTCACAAATCCTCAATTCTTCTTCTGAGTTCCTCAGACTTTTCCAGTGTTCTGACTAGGGATGGGTATCGTTTAGGTTTTATCCGATACCGGTGCCAAACCGGTACTTTTGAAACGGTGCCGGTGCTTAAACGGTGCTCAAACCGGTGCTTAAAGAATGGAGAACACAAAATTGGTCCAAAACCCTCCCATGCTCAGCTGTTTTTTTGTAAAAAGATAACAATGTTAGCCTTTTCTGCAGCTATGGGGTATATATGGTATCACTCTTGGCTGGAAGCAGTGCTTAAACAATGGAAAAAACACAAACTTTGTCCAAAAACCTCTCATGTTTAACTGTTTTCCAACTTTTTCTTTGGTCATTTTAGCCTTTTTGGCCAGGGTGAAGGGAGTATCTGCCATCAAACAAGAGGACAGCCGCATGTAGCTATGATGATGTTTGCTAGTTCACCTTACGTGCATTAATGTAATAACGTGGTTAGCCTACTCAACGTAAATTACACACGAACAACATTAAGCTACTCACGCAGAGAAGAACGGCTGCTGCTGCCATCATCCGTCATCATTTCTGCTACACTAGCAGGGCTAGGGGCCAGGACTCTATTCTTCGGGTTTTTGGGAGATGTTGCTCCAGGTCCGATAACAGGCAACCCACCCGCAGTAGATGTGCACGGTGTGAGGTCTCGCAGCAAGCTATCAAATACGGCGCATTTCTCGGCTTTTAAAAAAAACGCTATGCGTCGCCAGGTGTTTCATCAGATTTGAGGTGTTACCTCCTTTGCACAGTATCACAGTATCAGCTTAAAGCACTTGTTGCAGGCTGCTGAGTTTGCATATTTTGCTGTGAAGTACAGCCAGACTTTTGACCGCTTCGCCTTGGGCATTTTTAATCTGTAGCTCTGCTCTAAAAGAACGTACGTACCTGGACCCGCCTACTATCCTCGGAAACGTAAAATGATTGGCTAGAATCTAAAGTGTATCACAGCTCAGGAAAAAAAAAAGCACCGAAATAAAGCACCGAAATGTGCGCTGCTTTTCGGTCTGGTTACTACCGTTTATGTCAGAACCGGTGCCATGATGGCACCAGACACCGGTACCCATCCCTAGTTCTGACTATTAGTCAATTCAATGAGTGCTGTCAAAAAAATCCTTTTTATGATGGCAAAGAGAAACTACCAGTCTATAGGCCTTGGCCTTGTCAAGTTAAAAGACACCGTAGAACCAGCTAATTAATTATTTAAGTGAATGTATATACACATTTCAGCCTGTACAGTGGGGCAAAAAAGTATTTAGTCAGCCACCGATTGTGCAAGTTCCCCCACTTAAAATGATGACAGAGGTCAGTAATTTGCACCAGAGGTACACTTCAACTGTGAGAGACAGAATGTGAAAAAAAAAATCCATGAATTCACATGGTAGGATTTGTAAAGAATTTATTCGTAAATTAGGGTGGAAAATAAGTATTTGGTCACCTCAAACAAGGAAAATCTCTGGCTCTCACAGATCTGTAACATCTTCTGTAAGAAGGTTTTCTGTCCCCCACTCGTTACCTGTATGAATAGCACCTGTTTGAACTCATCATCTGTATAAAAGACACCTGTCCACAGCCTCAAACAGTCAGACTCCAAACTCCGCCATGGCCAAGACCAAAGAGCTTTCGAAGGACACCAGGAAAAGTATTGTAGACCTGCACCAGACTGGGAAGAGTGAATCTACAATAGGCAAGCAGCTTGGTGTGAAAAAATCAACTGTGGGAGCAATCATCAGAAAATGGAAGACATACAAGACCACTGATAATCTCCCTCGATCTGGGGCTCCACGCAAGATCTCATCCCGTGGGGTCAAAATGATCATGAGAACGGTGAGCAAAGATCCCAGAACCACACGGGGGGACCTGGTGAATGACCTGCAGAGAGCTGGGACCAAAGTAACAAAGGTCACCATCAGTAACACACTACAACGGCAGGGAATCAAATCCCGCAGTGCCAGACGTGTTCCGCTGCTGAAGCCAGTGCATGTCCAGGCCCGTCTGAAGTTTGCCAGAGAGCACATGGATGATACAGCAGAGGATTGGGAGAATGTCATGTGGTCAGATGAAACCAAAGTAGAACTTTTTGGTATAAACTCAACTCGTCGTGTTTGGAGGAAGAAGAATACTGAGTTGCATCCCAAGAACACCATACCTACTGTGAAGCATGGGGGTGGAAACATCATGCTATGGGGCTGTTTTTCTGCCAAGGGGACAGGACGACTGATCCGTGTTAAGGACAGAATGAATGGGGCCATGTATCGTGAGATTTTGAGCCAAAACCTCCTTCCATCAGTGAGAACTTTGAAGATGAAACGAGGCTGGGTCTTCCAACATGACAATGATCCAAAACACACCGCCCGGGCAACAAAGGAGTGGCTCCGTAAGAAGCATTTGAAAGTCCTGGAGTGGCCTAGCCAGACCTCAACCCCATAGAAAATCTGTGGCGGGAGTTGAAAGTCCGTGTTGCTCGGCGACAGCCCCAAAACATCACTGCTCTCGAGAAGATCTGCATGGAGGAATGGGCCAAAATACCAGCTACTGTGTGTGCAAACCTGGTAAAGACCTATAGTAAACGTTTGACCTCTGTTATTGCCAACAAAGGTTATGTTACAAAGTATTGAGTTGTATTTTTGTTATTGACCAAATACTTATTTTCCACCCTGATTTACGAATAAATTCTTTACAAATCCTACCATGTGGATTCATGGATTTTTTTTTTTTCACATTCTGTCTCTCACAGTTGAAGTGTACCTCTGGTGCAAATTACTGACCTCTGTCATCATTTTAGGTGGGGGAACTTGCACAATCGGTGGCTGACTAAATACTTTTTTGCCCCACTGTATGTATGCTTTCGAACTTGTGTGTGGATTTGAGCATCCAGTTCCTTTTTAAAGTCATTAAAGACGTATGGTAAACAATCACTGCATCCTGTAAAAACAACCGCTCCAAGAAAGTAGTAATATTAAAAAAATGTAAATTACCATAGCATTCATGTCTATGGTGAGTGGAAACTTCTGATCGCAACTTTAACATGAAACAGCCCACTTGCATCCTGACCTTGCGAAACGCTCTGAGGTCCCGCCGGCTAGCTGCAGTTCCTTCACCTCCATCCAGCAGGAAGATCTTGGCCAGGCCCAGCAGGAGGAGCACGGCACACAGCACCACCATGCGCTGTTTGAGCTTCATTTCCACACTGACTGGCCCTGACCTCCTCCTTGCCTGTAGTTGTGCGTCTCCCCCACAGCGAACACCCCTCACCCTTGATGCATGGCCCCTGCAGCTCAGTCACCTTCCTGCCTGCCTGCACTGTAAGACCAACTTGTCTGAAGGACGGGAGCTTTTCTGCCTTTTCCCTGGAGCTGCAGTCTAAGCAAACAGGCAGTCACCAGCAGGGAGACAGCAGGAGAACTAGGAGAGGGAGAGATGAAAGATGTACTGTCAATAATATGTGAAGAGAAAACTGATTGATTCGCTGCCTCTCTGGCTCGGTTCCCCCCAGGGCAGAGGATGACCCAGTACTGCAGCACAGTTGAAACCTGTCCAGAATGTGCAACTACATCACGATGGCAGAGTCTGGTCTGTGGAAATGTGTGCGTACATTCAAAAGTAAGCTTTGTGCCAGCAGCAAAGCTTACTTACTGTAGCTGCTGTTGCCAGCTGGGCTTTATTAAAGGTGAGGGACCAACGTTTACAACAAGGTGGTTCACATCCCTTCCTCTCCTGCACGAGGATGAGGGGATAGGGTGGTGGCGGGGTGTTGTTGTTATTGAACCTGCCTTTTCTCACTTAAGAAATGATGGACATGTCGTCCTGCTGTGGTGCAGAGGGGGTCCACTCCTGCTGCTGCTGGTGGTTGACACATTAAAGTGGCTCTGCCTTTAACGCAGAGAAGAGTTTCCTGAACCACAGTGATGTTCATCTAATCCTAAACCTTTATCTTCAGCTACACACAAACGAGGCGTTACGGATCACAGCAGTTAAATTATCCAGCTGCCACGTTCACCTGCCCGTCACTTACCTGCCTCTGTTGCTCTCGTTGTGGCTGCCGAGCCGAAGTTAATGTTACCAGGCTGTGACATAATGACAACAAACCGGCCACGAACGAGCTACATTAAAAACACCGGCTAATAAGCTCTATCGACACGGGTTTGGCCACGCAGGCATCGGCGTCTCCCATACAATTGCTCTTTCATGCAGCCACCGAGGAAACGGCTGGCGAGCACTGCCCGCATAAAAAACACCTAAAATACCAGAAAGGCACTTTTCTACCGGAGACTGCCCCCGTTATTCATTTCTGCCAGGTCACCACGGGCTCGTTCACATCCGTGACAACACAGCTAGTCGTTTAGCAAACCGCTGTACACCTTGCTGTGCGTGTTAGCTAAAGCAGCCCGCTAGTAGCACACAGTACGTCGTCTGTTGTGTTTACTGGGCACAGACCGAGCAGACTTACCTTATGCTCATACGCCGTTCACTGTAGATTACGTATCACACAGCTGTCCTTTCAGTCTTTCAAAACGAAAGTTGGTGTTAGTAAATTGGCTAGGTGCTAGAAGTCGCGGTGATTTCTCTTTTTTTTTTTAACCCCCCTCGGAAGCTCCCTTTCCTCCGCCCTTTTCTTCGATTCCTTCTGTGCCCTGCCGTGTCCACTTCCGAAACACTTCCTCCGTCTGCATGACAGCCAGGTAGCCACCAGGCGGCAGTGTTGCCCTGTAGGGCCCGCCCCCAGAAACTGAAACACCGTGTGTGTGCATGGGTGTTGCATATGCATAAGTAAAATGCAGATTGGCTCCTTGTATATTATTAATAACGGATAAAGATTTGTGTGGGATCAAACCTATGAGTGGAACACGACCTTTTGCTGACTTCTGAAGTGGGAGATCACACAAAAGGTTTGGGAACCACTAAAAGAAAGTCCCCAAACCTTTTTTTTTGGAGATGTGAACTAATGTTATTATAGATTGACACCATTCGTCAGGGGACCGAGTTAAGATTTTGAGAACAGTTTGGGGTCCGTATTTCAATTAGAAACTGATGAGGAAAATAGATTTGGCAGGGTACTGACAACAGCCTGCCTTTGCTTTGATGAAAATCTGAAGAAAAATATCTGTTATACAGCCATTAAAAGCTCATAGGTTTAGTGACTCCTGGTCACCTCTCCCCCCCCTTGAGCAGGTGCTTTTGTTTGACTCGCTCTCATTCTCATTTTCCATCTTGGAAAATACCTCCCTCGTGTTACTGACGGCAACATTTCTCTATATCTCTTGCATGTGTGATAAACAGGAAGACGTACGAACGGTCGCAGGTATTCAGATACCTAAAATCACAAGCAATAATGGAAAACAAATATAACACTTCATGAAAGTAGCTGAGTCAAGCCTTTTGGCACAACTTCAGCCTGCTTGCAAGGTGCAAGGGGGAGAGGCGAAACTCTCAAGGAGCCAAAACTCAACGGCAACATCCTGGATGAAGACCACAGACAAATGTGTTGCACAAGCAATAAAAGTTGCTCTTCGTGCCACAAGTGTTGCAGACTTTTGACCTTTAAAGACAGCTGACTAACGGACGCATTTAGCCCCCAGTACCAGTAAACGTATGACGCAACACCTCCACATTCTTATTGTTTGAGCAAAAACTTTATTTTTATTATGAAAGTTGTTTTTTTTTCCTTTTCTTGGAAGACAGACCACATAAAAAAAAGAGATTATTTTAAATCATTTTATTGGAATAATTAGGAGGCCTGAGAAGTAAAAAAACAAAACAACCCCCCCTCCCCAAACATTTAAACTGTACCCAACAGACAAAACACCTTTAACTGTTAAAAGTACAAACAAAATAGTTAATACTTTATGTATGACTAACACCTCAGTGCGTTATTAGTAATGCAAAGCCAACATCTATAGTGTAGTGGATCTGACTGTAACCTAACGATGATTAAGAAAGTGTAATAAGAATAAAAAATAACCAACACAGAGTAACTGGAGTGCTCTGATTTTGTTTTTCGATATTTTGTTAGACTTAAAAATCTAGATTGCTTTAAAAAATATATGTTGGCATCACTACTACGAAGAAGCCATACTACTAGACATTGTGCTCATCACCAGTTCCAGATTTTTTTTACTTTATTTTTTTAAAAAGGAGAAGGGAGGAGTGGGTGGAATTGTCAAATAGCACTGTGACATGTAATACGACCAAGACTCACATTCACCTGCACAAATCTGTGCTTCATTTCACAGTCACACACAACCTTCAACAGAACGACGAGCATAAAATTGATGTGAAGTTTAAAAAAAAACAAACCAAAAAGTGTTTATTGTTACTCAGTCACTAGGCAGCACATCACTCAGAGAGGTCATAGCACTGGCCACAGACACGATGCAGGCAGAGACGAGACACACACAGAGCTAGGTAAAGGGTGAAGGTAATTTATACATCACCCCCATCAGCTTTGACGACTTAAAATGCAGGCTGCCGTCGTTTCCATCCTCGGTAAATGCTGAATGAATGCCTGGCTGGTGCACGTGAGGCACCGGTTCACATTGAATACACTTCTCCAGCCAACCGAAAGAATAAACATCCTCCCATCGAACCCTCCATCTCGACAACGAGACCATTAAAAAGACAGATCTAGAATGAGCTTTGCCCGGAACAGTTAATGCAGGGCAAGTTGTGCATGTGCAGACAGTATGGTCAGTTTTAAGGAAACAACACAAGCTCGTAATGCAGACACAAAAATGTTCAAGCGTGGCATCAAATTTCTTCATAAAAACCAAAAAAAGATTATCTTAAAGGGAGAGTGGCTATATTACACTCTCCAAAAACAGAAGTAGTAGTGGTTGATCTTGAAATCCAACTCTAAATTAAACACCTGTTTCCATTACTTTGACCATATGCTGAAAAGAGGGAAAAAAAAAAAAAAAAAAAACAACCAAAAAACATGTAAACTCAGATTACAGTGAGGAAAACCACACATAAGAAAAAAAAAATGCCTGACATAATTTGGGTTGCTCTCAAAGAGATTATTGTACCCAGATTAATTAACAAAACAAAAAAAAACATTCTCTATTCCGATGTCCACAGTAACATTTGTCTTTTTCTTCCACTGTTCTCATCTAACATCAGATAAAGCTAATACAAAGAAAGGAAACATTTGATGGGGTCGCTGACCATCAAGACGAGCTTTGTTTAACATCTATGCATTTTCTCCTTTTGCACAGACCACAGCTTTAATTCTTCCATAGTTGCACAAACTTATTTGACGCACTGCAAATGACATACTGTCTGAATATGTCAGTTAAGACAGAGTAACCAGCATCTTTAGACAAACACAGGTAAATCGTCTCTCAGCCACCCATCCTGTGTCTCACATTTCATCCATTTCATTCACAGACCTCTTTTTGTCCCTTTGGCCAACCAGCAGTACTCAAACATCAGTTAGCCTCCACAGTAAGTCACTCTGGGATTTTGTTGCTTCACAAAGTCTCTCCTCAGCGCGTAGCTCCAGCAACAGCGGACACAGATGAGTTCCACTTCCTCTCTCCTTGTGAGTCACCTTTTCTTCAGAATTTCGGCACAGCACAACTCAGTATGGAGCCATTGCATGAACTGGAAGTTAGCCACACACGATTAGGTAGCTGGTTAACCCCACTGCTCAGCAGTGATGGCAGCCTCAAGGGATTGCCTAATCTGGCTTGAATTACAATGTTATTATAAAAATAGAGACGTATGCACAGGCACACATATGCGCACACATACTTTAAGTCACCGTCACATTACACAGGCCTGTTTTTGGCTCCCTCATTCATTCTTCCACAGGTTTATCCGCTACAACGTCTCCTTTAACAAAAACAACTGAAACTCAATGAACCTGACACAAGCCTGGAGAAGAAGAAAAACCCATTAGAAAGCCGTTAGTATGGAACGTGTCCACCCCATTATCCTTTATCAACAGCCCGAAACCTTCTCTGAGTTTAACACGCCCCACTAATAGATGGGACAACGGTAGGCTTCCTATTAAATAGAGTATGTGCAGTGAAGGGATTGTGAAACTGGGCATAGGATTGTGTAAACATACAGTGTAAACAGCTACTAAAAAGGAAAAATTTGATGTTTGACTATTACTGAGCAAAAAAGCACCTCACTGTTGTGTACACCACCATCAATCATGTTTTTGCAAAAACCGCAAAAGTCAGCCTGTGGCATACTGACATATACGGGATGTACAGCGGAAAATGTAAATCCCCGGTTTTTCCCAACTGAAACATACCAGTAGCTGCACGTAATTGCACTGCAGCTCTGTCTTTCATTTTATAAAGCAGTAGAAAAACGTGGTTGCAATGTCGCTTTGTACTACTTATAACCTTGGTGCTTATGCCATTTCCCAAAATTCTGAAGCTGGGCTTGGATACGAAGATGAGGGTCAAAAATAGAAAAACTAAAATTCACATGTACTTAAAAAATATTCAAAATAAATGCAAAAAAAGACATTCAAATGTAACAAACAAAATGTTGCTGTGCAATCATCTACTACATGGTAATACTGTGAACTGCACTGTCCAGCCCAAAAGAAGGAAAAAAACAAAAACAAAAACAAAAAAAACACAGAAAAGAACAAAACATAATAAACAAAGATTTAAAATAGACTCTGTATGGCTCCAGGTAGCTTTGAGTGTCTACTCTAAACCAGAGGAGATAAAATCATGTATCACAAGTTTCTGTTGCTCTCTTTCTTTGACTCTTTCACAGTTTCGAGTCTTTAGTGTTTTTGTGTATGCTTGTGTCTGGTGGACAAACCATCGCCTTTCTGGGCGGATGTCAGGTGGCAGCGAGCAGACAGCACTGGAGGAAAAAGAGCAACTCTCATCTACCCGACCGTGAACGCGTCTTAGCTTAGATTCTGGGATTATCGTACCTCTGTGGAAAACAGACAAGACTCCTCTGATTAAAGTGAACCTCCCACTCAGCGCAGTTATACCACCGCATACTGAACAGTAATAAAAACTAGACACATTCAGGAAGTGTAGGAATTGTTTCTGCTGGAATTGATTGCGAATAAGAGCCCTTACGTTTGCAACGATGCAATCAAATATGTTTGTTTGTGTGTGTATGTGTGCACATGGTAAATATAAATAACCATGTGACTTCGAGCCAATGCAAGTGATTGAAGTGACCAACAATTTAAAGTGTGAAACAAGTAAGTAAAAATAAGTCTAAAGTCCGGTGAGTTAGTCTGACAAAGTGTGTTTGTTTGTGTGATCGCGTATCCACCTGAATAAAAAGATGGAAAACTTGCTTTCAAGCATGGGGGGTGGATA